TGGTATCTCTTCTATCTTGTCTCCCAGCCCCTCTCATACCTCCCCCCAGTGCAGGTATTATGTTTCCTCACCTGTGAGCTCAAGAGAGCTTACTGTAGATTCCACCACCTTGTGAAGTATGTAGCTAATGAATATACATGTCTTATGACTACCTACAAATATCCCAAGAAAGTAAAGATTTTCCCCACTCCTCTCTCCCACTTCCACATGGACCACCAAGAGGGACTGAGGTGAGCTTGTGTGTCTGACTATTTTATTCTCTCTCTTATCTTTCCTATTCTCCATGACTTTATTTTAATCTTTATGTATTATAACCGTACAATTGTGCCTACTGACCCTTCGGTTGTTAGAGGCTGGTTTCTTCTAACATCTATATTGTAGTCACTACCAAAAACATTTTCTTGATTCAATCTTCACAGCATCCTTACAACATCAGAACTATTTCCTATGCCAATAGAGAGGTTAAATGACTTGCCCAAGATCACACAGCTTATAAATGGCAAAGCCAGAATAAGAGCCCAGGTAGTCTAGGTTCATTCAGTATTTGCCTGCGTAAGTCACATATGTTGCAGGTAGTGGAACTGTGGTTAGGACTGTCAGCCCCAACCTACAAGAAGCTAGTATTCTTTTCTTTTTTTTAAAATCATTTTATTAAGGGCTCATACAACTCTTATCACAATCCATACACACATCAATTGTGTAAAGCGCATTTGTACATTCATTGCCCTCATCATTCTCAAAACACTCTCTCTACACTTAAACCCCCGGCATCAGGTCCTCATTTTTCCCCTCCCTCCTCGCTCCCCCCTCCCCCATGAACCCTTGATAGTTTATAAATTATTATTTTGTCATATCTTGCCCTGTCTGACGTCTCCCTTCACCCACCTTTCTGTTGTCCGTCCCCCAGGGAGGAGGTTACATACAGTTCCTTGTAATCGGTTCCCTCTTTACTACCCACTCTCCCTTTACCCTCCCAGTATCACCACTCACACCACTGGTCCTGTAGGGCTCATCCCCCCTGGATTCCCTGGATTTTCAGTTCCTATCTGTACCAGTGTACATCCTCTGGCTAGCCAGACTTGCAAGGTCCGAATTCGAGTCATGGTAGTGGGAGCGGGAAGGAAACATTTTTTAGGAACTAGAGGAAAGTTGTATTTTTCATTGTTGTTACAAGGAAGCTAGTATTTTTGAAGTTGAAACTAAAAAGTAGCTCTCTGGTTTTCCCAAACTATAGAAGAATAACCAACTTAATTACTTGCTTTACATAGAAACATTGATTTCCTCCAGTTTCACTGGAAGTAAAAGTTGGATGTTGACCCTTGCCACTGTCACTCCAACTCCCCTACCCTGGCTATTTCAGTGTCTGCTGATAGTGATGGGGCAGAGCCAGAGGTTTTCAGAAGACATACTTCATGAACTTTTAGGATGTTCGTATTCGATCTTGAAGTCTAGATTCTGGGAGAGAATGTTAGCCTCTCGAGCCTGGGATTTCAACTCTCTATAAAGAAGAGTGTACCTCTAGCATTCTTAGGGCAAATCGGTAACATTGGGGTCACGAAATTAGGACTCAAGACTTTTCTAGAAACCACTGATTTCTGTCTCTAGACTCTGGGATGAATAAAGCAAGAACCCTTCTTAGTATGTAGGTTGCCCAAAGTTAGTTTTTCTAGAAAAGACAGTTGAAGCAACTATAAGAATGGTGTGGGGACATTTGTCTGGACTCTTCTGACTTTACTTGGGGAGGGAGAATCAGACTCAGCATCAGCCCAAGGCGAGTGGAAGCCAGACATACTCTCCAAACTTCTTAGCCAATTCAGATATCAACCAAGGAACCTTCCTACTTGGTTCAACAGTACATTGCAATGGACACACAGAACTCACAGACTATACTCATAATTATGGTGTCTATTAAGGAAGTTAGCAGGTTACAGTTCAGGATTAGAAATGCTCAGGATACAGTTCTTCAGTTAATAACACTTCTACTCAGGCAATGTTACCAGTGCTCTTTTACGAACTCCGTTCTGTCATTCTGCCTTAAGTAAGCCTCTGCCCCCAAACACACTACTGTAGCTCCACAGGCCTGCAAATCTAGCACCCCTGAGTTTCCTACCTAAAGGCATTCAGCTTTTTCACTCCACGGCTCAAGAAGCCTGCCACTCTGCTTACGCTCTTGGTGCTGCTGCCTCTGTTGCTACCGCTTTTCTAGTGTCACAACTCTGTCTCCTGGATTGAGAAGGTTCAGTGTTCAGGCATCTGGGGTCCAAAGGACATTCCGTTTTTGCCTCTTCTTTCTTGGTGGTAGTGAAATCCTCCCTTTATGCTTCTAAGAGGGCTCATTTAGACCTAGCGGGATAGTGTAGTGGTTGTGCTGCTAGCATGCCATAAGGTCAGCCGTTTGAACTCACCAGCCACCCCATGGGAGAAAGATGAGGCTTTTTGTTCCCATAAATATTTATGGCCTCAGAAACTTATAAGGGCAGTTCTACCCTGCCATTGAGTCACTGAGATTCAGAATTCACTCAGTGGCTGTGAGCTTGGTTTGAAGGATAGCAAAATTGAGCAATCCCCTTGCTAGTGTTCCACATATGTTCTATGCGTGGCCCCACCACACGAATACCATGAGCCTTATTTACCTTATTAGTAGGGTATCTGGTCTCCTTAGTGGGACACACATGTCTCGCATTTGCATAATCCTGCCCAGTCATGACTAAAAGAGCCATGTCAAGTACCACACCAATATTTGGTTATAATTAATTCTCTACCACACACTGAAGATACAGTAAAAAAAAAAAAACCCTTTGTGGAGATTATTGGAAAGAAGAAGACAAAAATATAAAACTAGTAAATGTTCTGAAGACAGTTAAATCAGGTGTCTTGAGCAGGGTTCTATTGAAATGCAAAACCAGCTAAGCATGTATGTACATTTAGAGGGAGGTAAATAGCCAGGAAACAGCTCACATCATTGTAGAAGAGGGCAGGTTGCAAGTCTGTAGGTCAAATGTTAGACTAGAGGTGTCTCTTGACCCAGTTAGTTAGCTGTAGAAGTGGTAACAGGTTTTGGCTATGGAGGCAAATGAACCCAAAGATCAGTAGGCGATTAGCTCAGGTCCAAAGAGCTGGTTGTGGATAATCCAGATACAGGATCTAGAACTGGGAAAAGGCACAGTAAGTTGTTCCATGTGTTCCATATGTGAGGGGTACCCTCAAAAAACGTTGATGCTCATTTGGTTTTTTGATATAAGGGAGATAGTGCATTTGGAGTTTGTTCCACCAGGTGAGACTGTTCAAGCTTTCTATTTAGAGCAGTGGTTCTCAACCTTCCTAATGCCGTGACCCTTTAATACAGTTCCTCCGGTTGTGGTAACCCCCCAACCATAAAATTATTTTCATTGCTCCCTCATAACTGTAATTTTGCTACTGTTATAAATTGGGCAACCCCTGTGACCGCTGGTTTAGAGATTCTGAAAAGTTTGACAGTGTGTAACCAAAAAGGCCTGATTTGTGACAGATGGGGGACTGGTTTTGCCAGCATGACAATGCACCTGCTCACGCAGCCATCTCAGTGTGCCAGTTTTTGGCAAAAACAGCATGCCTTTCTTGCCTCACACACCTTACTCATCTGACATTGCTCCATGCCACTTCTTGTTTCCGAGAATGAAGAGGGACATGAAAGGACAGCAATTGACATAGAAGAGGTCAAGGAAAAAATTAGGGAGGTGCTGTCAGCCATCCAAACAAATGAGTTTGAAAAATGTTTTCAAGATTGGAATCACAGATTTGACGAATATATTAAGTGTAATAGAGAGTACTTTGAGGGTTACAAGGTTGTTTTTTAAAAAATATTTAATCACATAACTTTGGGGAGAATTCTGGGGTTTGGGGGGGTACCCCTCATATATTTCCATCTATTATTTATATTGAAAGCAGACCACACACCCTTGAGAGAATCTCATCACGGGAGGTTACCTAGTCTTAATCACCAAACATAGAATCCTGGCCCAATCCAATTTGACACCAAACCATTATCCTGTCACACAGGAAAATGAAAAGCATATGAAGAGGAATGGAGTGTTAATTTAGAGAAAATAAGTGGAGCCTTTGTGGTGTAGTGGTTTCACATTGGGCCGTGATCCACATAGTCAGTAGTTCAAAACCACCAGCAACTCTGTGGGCTTTCCACAGAGCAAACTGTCAAACATTGTTGAATGTATAATTTAGAGAAAATGGTCACCTTTCTGGGGAAATTATATTTGAGTAGAGACTTGAAATAAGTGAAGGAACAAACCTAAGCCACTGGGTATATTAGCATTAATCCAAATTGCTGTTAGCATTATCCAAGCTGAATATATTCTTTTCTCTTTTTTTAATAGATTAATTTATTTTTATTACTAATTATTTCACTCTATTCTTTTTTAAAGATAATTTTATTGGGGGCTCTTATAACAATCCATACACCAATTGTATCAAGCATATTTGTACATGTTGCCATCATTATTTTCTAGATATTTACTTTAAAAAAAAATCGTTTTATTAGGCGCTCATACAACTATTATCACAATCCATACATACATCAATTGTGTAAAGCACATTTGGACATTCATTGCCCTCATCATTCTCAAAACATTTCCTCCCCGGCATCAGGTCCTCATTTTCCCCCTCCCTGCCTGCTCCCCCCTCCCTCATGAGCCCTTGATAATTTATAAATTATTATTTTGTCATATCTTGCCCTGCCCGACGTCTCCCTTCACCCACTTTTCTGTTGTTCGTCCCCCAGGGAGGGGGGCTGAATATATTCTTTCAGACTACTCATAAGGATTGTTTTGCTTGGCTTTCTGGTCAAGATGAGTGGTGATGCTTTTTACAAAGCCCCTTGGGTGGTAGGAAAACAGGGCACAGTACTCTTGGGGCTGCCTAGATGTTTCTGCCTCGGGAGTGTGGTTCACCTTATTTGATATTTCCATCACTCACAGTCTCTCTCCTTTCTTCTTTCAGTTTGAAGCATGACTTCTCGGAAGAAAGTGTTGCTGAAAGTTATCATACTGGGAGATTCAGGGTAAGTGTCCTCATGGATTGCAGCTTAATGCTTTGTGTTGGTCTTAAGCCTTGGAACTTGTGCTCTCCGTCCCGATATTTACCACTTCCTTCTTTGTCTCCCCGCTTTTTGGAACATGGCAGAAGTTTCCATAAGCCCTTGTTATGTTACACTCCCTTTTCTGATTTTAAGCTTGCTTTCCTATTTTCTGTATTGAATATTTTGTTTTTTAGGTAGAAGTTTATACAATTAGGTTCCCTTTTTAAATTACTCTTGTGTCGATTGTTCCATGACGTTGATTACAATTTTCACCATGTGCCAGCATTTTATTCTGTCCATTATTCTGTTTCCACTGATGTCACTTCTTTCCTCTCGTCTTCCATTTTGCTTTTGTTTCAATGTTGACTGTTTGGTCTCAGGTAGTTAATTGTTTCAGGAACACATTACTCAAGAATGATTTTGTTTAGGATCCTATCGCTATAGGAAGGTGGCCTCCAGGAGTATTTTTAGTTCCAGGTTAAAGAGCATCTTAAGGTAATGGTCTCAGGAGTTGCTGTTTGTCCAGTAAGTTAGGTCTTTTAAACAACATTTGAGTTTCATTTTACATTTTTATATTTAGCAGGGGATCATCTAGTTCTGTGGAGTGCAGGTTAAAAGAGACTGTTAGTCTGGGTAGACTAGAGAAACAAATTCATAGACACTCATGTGTATAAGAAAGAGCTTTATATACAAGAGCAATTGAGTATTGAGAAAACATCCCAGCCCAGTCCAGCGCAAGTCCGTACATCCGGGATTAGCCCATTGTCCGATACCAATCTATAAATTCCTCTTCAGACTCATGCAACACATGCAATGACGCCAAATGCAGGAAAAGATCACAGGTCAGTGGGTGGAAAGTCTTGTGGATCCAGTGGCAGTGGAAGCATCTCAACACTGGCAGGGGCCTCCATGTGACTCCTTCAGCTCCAGGACTCTAGCATAGCTCCATGTGTCTTGTCCACAGAAATGTCTTCCAGGGAGTGAGCGAGTGTCCCCTCTCTAGTGTGCTATTTATCTCCTTAGCAGCTCCATATGAGGTCCTCAAGCTATGACCTGATTGACAGGCTAAATTCCACCCTTCATCTTTTTAAAAAAATTAAAAATTTTTTCTTTTAATCATTTTATTGGGGGCTCTTAGAATGCTTATCGTAATCCATACATCCATCCATTGTGACAAGCACAGTTGAACATTTGTTGCCATCATCATTCTCAAAACATCTGCTTTCCACTTGAGCCCCTGGCATCGGTTCCTCATTTTTTACCCCTCCCTCATGAACCCTGTGTAATTTACAAGTCATTATTATTTTGTCATATCTTACACTGTCCAACGTCTCCCTTTACCCACTTTTCTGTTGTCCAACCTCCAGAAAAAAAGAGTATATGTAGATCTTTGTAATCGATTCCCCCTTTCCACCCCACCTTTGGTCCACCCTCCCAGTATCACCACTCTCACCACTGGTCCTGAGGGATTCATCTGCCCTGTATTCCCTGTGTTTCCGGTTCCCTTCTGTACCAGTGTACATCCTCCGGTCCAGCTGGATTTGTAAGGTAGAATTGGGATCATGATAGTTGGGGGGAGGAAGCATTTAAGAAGTAGAGGAAAGTTGTGTGTTTCATTGTTTCTACACTGCACCCTGACTGGCTTGTCTCCTCCCCGCGACCCTTCACTCTTAAGTCTCAAATTGATAACAGGATATGTAACTACCGCAGAGACTGTGGGCTATGTGGGGCTTTAATCCTGTGGACTAGTTTCTAACTTGAGTCTTGGGTTTCCTTTGTTTTCATTTACTCCAGACAAGTAGATACTAATAATTGTATCTAATTTGGCTGCTCACAGCCTTTTAAGACCCGTTAACATGATTTCCTGGTTGCTATTTGAACTCTCACCTAAGTAATGGCTAACATTTTAATGGAAGCCCTTTGCTTCACACTGGCTAGATAGGGAGCCTTGCTTATTTAGATTTGTTGCCAGTAGCCTTATGACTGCCAAATAGAGGTTTTAGTTCATTGTTCTTGAATCAGCCCTATATGCAGAGGAGACTGGGACTGGAGAACTGGGTCCTCCTCCTCAGTCACCCTCTGACCAAGTAATTCTTGAGTAGCTCGTAAGTGTATGTGGCAGTGCTTTTCAGACTTGGCATCTGAAGTGCCCATGAAAGCAAGCATTGACTGGAAGCCATGCAGTAGTAACACTAATAAATGCAGGTTGTTGTTGTTGTTAGGCGCCATTGAGTCAGTTCCAACCCCATGTGTCATCTGCTCAGTGGAGTAAAAAACAAACAAACAAAACTGACATCGAGTCAATGCTGAGTCATAGTGACTGTACAGGACAGGAGAGAACTATCCCTGTGAGTTTCCTAGACCATAACTATTTATGGGAGCAGAAAACCCCATCTTTCTCCAGCAGAGTGGTTGGTGGTTTTGAACTGCTGACCTTGCAGTTAGAAGCCTAACCCATAACCACTGTGTCACTGCTCAGTGGAGTAGGGGTTAGTAAAAAATAACTGGGAGACAGCACTTGGAGTCTCCCGTGGAGATTGGAGAGTAGGAGTGACGGATAAGAATCTCACTTCTGATACCAAGATGTTTTGTCTGGCACAGTACTCTTTTTCAACTCTGTTGCCCCCCAGGATGCTCTCCTTTTTCTGCTGGGGTCTGTAACTCGTTACAGTGACCACATAGAATGCACAGACAATGTTTGTGATTACAGGGTTTATTGGGGAAGCTAACCGGCTACGATTCCGGTGGAAATGCTCCAGATAGAGTTTTCAACAGGACATTGCTAGAGTAATCCAGCCTTTAACAATCGTGGGGTGTCCGTAGGTGCAGTTGTATGGTTATAATATATAAAGATCGTAGTAAAGTCATAGAGAACAAGAGAGGTAGGAGAAAAGATAATGTTAGAGTAAACCAGTCTAACAGCCATGGGGGGGGTGTAGGAGCAATTGTACGGCGATGATATATAAAGATTATAGTCAAGTCATAGAGAGGTAGGAGAGAAGATAAAATAAAGGAGTCAGACACATTTTATGGTAGCATGTTCACCTCTGGTACAGCCATGATCTCAGCATCCAGGTCCGCGCAGAGAGAGGGAGGAGGAGAGGGGAGAGAGCCTCTTTATTTCTGACCAAGGCCTATATATACTTAGGGGTGTGCAAGTCCCCCTGATTAGAGGTAACCACATACATCACAGGAAGGGGTTGTACAATAGGCATACGTGTCCCAGGAAGGGGATGAGCTAGGTACACACGTAATAGGAAGAAGAGGGATGAGGGGTACACATGTGATAAGATGGGAGGTCCCTAGACGCAAGACAGCAGCCTACCCTGGGTCATCTTTGAGTGGGCTTGACCTTGTCTCTGGGCTCTCCTTCAGGGAAGCAATCCACTATTAACAGAAAGGAGTGGACCCTACTTAGGGTGCGACAGACTATACAGTCTGATTCCTTTAGATGGCTGATAATCCTCAGGGAAGTTAACATCTAAGCAGCTTGCGTTGACTACCAAGTGTACAGTCATTTACCATGTGATGCAAGCAGATTCCTAGGTTTGGCATATATTTAGGGGTAACCTGGAGGAAAACCTTTCTGTATCCAACAAGATAAAATAAAGGAGTCAGACACATTTCATGGTAGCATGATTACCTCCGGGACAGCCATGATCTCAGCAGCCAGGTCTGCACAGAGAACAGGAGCAGCAGAGAGTGAATCTTTACTGTCTAGCATTATTTGTAAGCAGCCGTAAGACATGCATATTCAGTAGTTACCTATGTCACAAGGTGGGTGGTGACCCCAGTAAAGTCTTGCGCTCACAGTAAGGAAACCTAATACCTGCATTGGGGGAAGGTATGAGGGGAGATGGAGATACCAAGAATGTCTGCTTCTAGCAGCATATCTGTCAGGGGAGAATCTGTGGGAATGCTATTTGAAGTAGGATAATGTACTTGAACTTTATCTCTAACTTACCCAAGCGGTGGCTTTCCTACCGTGGACTACTAGCTTTCCAAAATGCCCTCTGTTATAAATTAGGGAATATAGTCCTAGTTATATTTCCCTCGGTGTTAGTTTCCCACAGGGCATATTAGGAAGTTTTTTCAAAGGTACTAATAAATGCTGAAGGGCCATGCCACTCTGCTGTGCACCTCAAGCCCAAGGCACGCAGCTCCAGCTGCACAGGTCAGTGAGCCCAGTTCCCTGAGTGAAGTGCCCAGGGAGGCACTCAGCTCCAGGCCCATGGGCCAACAAACTCAGATCCCCCAGCCTCCTGCCCCAAAGCCTTCCGCTTTCCTTGCTCTGTGAACTGGAAGTCTACCGCTCGGTCTCCTGCTCTGGCCTTGGTTCTGTTGTTGCTCTTCTGCCACTTTCAGTGTCCAGCTGCTTTTCTGGGTCAAGGAGGCTCACGTACGGGAATCTTGGGTCCCGGGGTGCACTCCTTTTCTACTTCTGAGGTGACTGAAGCCGTGGCTTACCACCATGCGACTTCTTCAAACTGCAGAGATAATTGTTAAATAATAGCGATCTTAATGTTGCTTTTTTTTTTTTAAGTAGTTTTATTGGCATCTACTTTACATATCATAGAGTGTAATCATTCAGTCAGATTAGGTTGAGTTATATAAAGGTCATCAAAGTCAATTTCAGAACATTTTCTTCTCATATATTGCTCTTTTAGAAGGAGAATATATGTGGTGTCCTTCAGAAAGGGGAAAAACACTAGGTTCTCCCCTTTCTCCCCTTTGAGCTCTCGGTACCAACATTGAGCAGCAGTTTTTCGACATCTGGCTCACATCTATGCTGTGCATTTTTATCTCAAGAGAAGGTATACTCTAATAGAAGGAATGTTGGGAGATTTGCTGGTATCTTTTATTGTGGGGGCAGTTCCTTGTTCTTCAAAACAGACAGGTTCCTTTTAAAACTGCAAATAGAAGAATTGGTTTTTAGTTCCTTCCTATTTGACTTATGCATGTGGTTTTTCTCCCATTCCAGAGTTGGTAAAACATCACTCATGAACCAGTATGTGAATAAGAAATTCAGCAATCAGTACAAAGCCACAATAGGAGCAGACTTTCTGACAAAGGAGGTGATGGTCGATGATAGACTAGTTACGATGCAGGTACGTATATGTCTCAGCTTTGCTAACCAAGCCTGTTCGTTTATATAGTCACTTCCTTGTTACCTGATACCCAGGAGTTTTCTTCCCTCTTCTTTAAATCCCCAAATTTGTATACATGGATATTTGGTACTGACTGGGTTATCAGGTAGAACATGACACCTAGTTCAATTTCAGATAAAGAGCAAACAGTTTTTTAGTATTAGGAAAGTATGTCAAAAATATTGGGTGGAATATATTGATTAAAAATAGACTATAAACATTACTTGCTGCTTATCTGAATTTTGCAGGACTTATGTTTAATGGACAAGATTTGGGCTTGGTTTATTGCTCCTCATTGAGTAATTTCATACCTATATTCACATGTGTATGTTCTAAATTGACATGTATGGCTTAGAAATCTCTGTTGTAAAGAATTTAACAAACTCCTGTCCCTTCCAGCAAAAACAGATAAAATCACTATATAGGAACACTTCCAATAATCTTAGAACTTAAGTAATCTCTGAATATGAGTTCATAGCCACATGAGGAAATAATGTACCACAAGAAATGTTCATAATGACTAGAGATTTTTATATAAAGGAATAGAAACCATAGTGGAAAGGGATACTGTAAAAAAAGGGTATAGAAAACTTAGAACTAGAAGTGAAAAAAATCATCATTGAAATACAGTTGAGCATTAGATTAAGGACAGAAATTTATAAACAGCAATAAACTACAAGAGCTGATAAATTAATCTAGAAGAAAACACAAAATAACAGAATCCAAGAAGTTACAAGAACAACTAGAGAGAAAAGGCATTCCGTTTGAATAAGCAAAGATGACTGTATTCAGCTGGGTTCTCTATAGAAGCAAAACCAGTTATACATAAAGGGGGGGGGGAAGTAGTGGAAGAAATTATATCAAGAAAATGACTCACAGTTGTAGAAGCAGATCTGTGGGTCAGGTGTTAAGTTGGAGACTTTCATGCTGTTGTAGTTTATGGGGCCGCTGAATCCAGGACTGAGCACAGGCTGCAAAGGTGGATATACGAAAGACCAGCAAGTCAGGCTTGCTAACTGGAAAGGCAAATAGATCCAAGGCCAGATGGCAGGCCATTAGTGGCCCCTGGGATCACCAAGACAATATGGCAGACAGTTCCAAAGAATCAGAGCTCGACTAGGATGCAGGATCCAGACCTAGCAAGAAAGCAAGCAAGTTTACCATAGCATCCACTTATATAGGAATTGGACCATGCTCCCGAGGACATGTCCTTTAAGTTCCATCAGGTCTGTGACCGAGTAAGGGAGTTGCACTCCATCTACTCTTTCTTAGTTTTGATTGGTTGTTTACAGCACATCCCATTATGGAGTTCATTGCATTGTGTTACATAATATCATGGGAGATTACCGAACCTGAGCTGCCAAACTACTGAGGATCCTGACTGGCCAGATTGACCAAAAACCTATCACAGCGGAGGCAGTGGGGGGAGCAAAAAAAAAAAAAAACCTATCACAGCTTGCCCCTTGTCAACTTGACACGTTACCTTAAAGTATACATAATCTCCAAACAAAGACAATAATAAAGCCACACTTGAGCCTAACTAGATAAGGAATAACTGCAGTCTTTGTTTTTGCACTGATTACGTGGCCATAGCTGGTAGTTAGAACTGTTCTGTGTTCCCTTTGCGTTCAGCAAGCAAGCGCCTCAACTAGTCATGCTTCTTTGCATGATTGGGTGACTCAAGCTTTTATCTTGAAGGGTCTGTGCCATCAGTAGCCATGTCAGAACTGAGTTGCTGTAGTTTGCCATTGAGTTTAATTGAATCGCATGGCATTACTAAAGGAATCTCTTGGATTGCGGATATTCTTCATTACCTTCACTATGCAGTAGCAATCTAGTTTCCCCTTGGTAATCAGGATCAATCGCACCACTCGTCGATATAGTGACATCCTTATTGCCTGTTGCTCTAGAGTTAGCAGAAGTCCAAAATGGTTAGGAGACATTCTTCCAGTTCAGCGGAATCAGGCTGTTTCCCCAGATTTGGAGTATTCTTTCCTTTGGAACTAAGACTTCTAGACCCAAAGAGCATGGGATCACAGGGACAGGAAGCAAACGTGTGAGTGAGTTACACCCAGGACCAATAGTGATTAGTGCCAGCCCCATTTCTACCCCGTAGTTCCAGGACCCATGAATCTTGGCTGTTGGAGAAATAGCACCATATTTTGCCTGCAGTTTTAGAGCACTTAAAACAACCCTCCTAAGTGTTGCCACCTAGCAGGCACCTTAATTCTGTCTTTAGAAGTCCATTCCATTGTTCTGTCAAGACAGCTGCTTCAGGATGGAGAACACGTTAAGACTGGTGGATTTTGTATTTATCCAAGCATGTCGTCTTTCTCTAGGAATTGTCGCTCCTGCTAACATGTCCAAAGTATGTGAGATGATGCCTTAACATCCTTATTTCTAAGGTAGCGGACCACATTAAGTTTATTATCTATGAGTAACAAGATTCCCAATAACAGAGACAAATAATAGACCAGGAAGAAATGGTGTAAGCAGACAGTTAATTGAAGAAACCTTATGACCAGTACTTTGACTTCAGAGAATTATAAAATCAAAACGCTGATTGTGTGAGTGTGTTTGTGTAACCACTTCAGTGGAGACTGCCATTTTGAGCTCCAATGTGAACAAAAACACACCTACCAGTTGTCTTTGTCTGTGTACATATACCCTAGGAAAACTTATAGACATAAGGAGAGAGATGTGGGAAAAAATGTATCATGCAGCCTTGTGTCTAATAGTGAAAAACTGGAAATAAGTCAAGCAACCAGGGAAATATGTATATGAAGGCAGGGAATAGTACATACTTTTTTATTTTGGAAATTGGGGCAGAGGCCAAGTTTCAAAAAATGTACATGGAATCTTCTTCCTGGGGAGGAAGGAAAGGAATTGCTACAGGGGAGGTTTTCTGTTTCCATAAAAAACTAAGTGACAGAGAATGGCAGTGTCAAGATTGTAACATGAGAATGGTGGGTAGATAAATGTGTGGATGTAATTTTTTTTTTAGATGTAATTTTGAGTATAGAAAATAAATTGTTTTGATTAAATATTAAAAATTTTAAGGATAGCCATTGGACTTTGCGTTCCTAAATGTAAAGTTAAGTTTTGTGGAAACTTACTAAGAATAACCCCCTAATTTTTCAGTTTTTCTTTCTTTTTTAATCGTTTTATTAGGGGCTCATATAACTTATCACAATCCATCCATACATCAATTGTGTAAAACACATTTGTATATTCATTGCCCTCATCATTCTCAAAACATTTGCTCTCCATTTAAGCCCCTGGCATCAGGTCCTCATTTTTCCCCTCCCTCCCC